GTTTATACGGATTCCAATCACCCGCAGTTTTTGCCCTATTGAATAGTTTTCTGGCCTGTTATCTCATTTGATCAAGCTTCTTACTCCACCAAGGCACATCTAGTTTGGATCTTACCTTTCCTTGGTGACAACTACTGTTGAAAGCTATTACAATATCAGAGTGAACCTTCTCAGCTTCATTATCAAGCTCCTGTTTAGTTATAATTGGGTTTTGGGGCTGTTTGCGCCCTCGTCTATAGTAAAGCGGAAGAGCTCCCAGTTGTTTTTCCTGGGATATCTCAGAACTACTTCCTGTTCGGAAGAGATCCATATAGAAATGCCCCGAGATACGCCAGTTTGTGACAGATGATGACATGTTTTGGTTGAATAGAGATAGGTCCACGACCTCCCCCTTAAAGCGTTTCTAAAATTCGGTTCACTACCACGTTTAATAATATTTATATTATAACTACTAATAAACTCGAGGAGGTACTCACCCCTTTTGTTGGTATCTGTGCAACCCCAAACAGTGTTATGCGAATCGGCGTCCAGCAGAGAATGCAGTGCTTTCCACTCTGGCGGCAGTGCTCAACAAAGTATAGACTTCTGCTGTCGGGGCCATCTCCTCTCTACCTGGAAAGTACCCTGAGGCAAGTACTGCCTCTTGTACATACCTTGGAGAGGGAATTTTGGCCCAAACTGCAACCACATTCCCCCATCATGAACTGTAAAAGAGGAAGAAACGTTAGTTTTTTGCTTAATAGCATCGCCACCCTTGGGCGAGGACTGGTGGCATTATGATAATACCATCATTGATGTTTAGACCTTTCACCTCGCCACGTAGTATCCAGGGTTCCTGGATGAAGGCTATACTTAGCCCTTAGTTAGCGAACCTCCTGCATGAAACTTTTGGCGCTGTTTTGGCATGAGGAGGATTCACTTAAAGGCATTTCAGATGCTTCGAGTTGGGGTTAGGCTTAGGGAGAGATGTCATTACTGGCACTCTTTGCGGGTGCGAGCAGCCACCTTCTTCCTTAGCTGTCCTTGCACCCCCTTTGCTTTTGCGGCTTTCAATAGCCGCTTTGGAACTGCCATGCAATGGTGCCTTTATTATATTCCGAGGAGGCTCAATGGGTCTGACATTTTGTTGGGCTCTGTCTAGCACCTGCTGCCGGCAGAATGTTGCTGTTAGTCGCGTAGGCGATGACACGCTGTCTTGAGCTTTTGGCAGCTCAGGCGACGGCTTCGTCTTTTCCGGCTCCAGGGACTGCTGCTTCTGCACCTTTTCGTCTGTTGAGAATTTGTGACTAAGTAAATAAGTATTCTACGATTGTATCTATTATGTTGTGTCTGCAAATAAATGTAATCTAATTATTGCATAATTTTTAAAGGTTCACGTAGGCTGCATTCCACCAATGTGCGACTTCCTGACGGTCGTTGATTCAGACATCGTTCAAGTGGCTTTAAACGCACTTGAAAATATTCTGAAGGCCGGAGAAAAATTTGCTGCTCGTCCAAATCCATATGCAATGGCCATCGAAGAATGTGGAGGTAAGTATTTATGTACATACATATATCATATAATACATATCTACATGTTTGTAATATCTGGAAATGTAAGGGTCAGATCGAAAAATAGTCTCGCCCAACGTGTTCACCGACCTTGAAAACATATTGTGAGACATTAAAAAACTTAATTTCTTAATGGATTTCGTACACGGATTGAATGAAGAGCAATTTTAANATGTACATACATATATCATATAATACATATCTACATGTTTGTAATATCTGAAAATGTAAGGGTCAGATCGAAAAATAGTCTCGCCCAACGTGTTCACCGACCTTGAAAACATATTGTGCGACATTAAAAAACTTAATTTCTTAATGGATTTCGTACACGGATTGAATGAAGAGCAATTTTAGGCATTTGAGGCGGAGGCACAAAACGTTCAGGCGAGACCTCTAAATCAGTAGTGGGCATTTCATAGCACGCGTACAGCTCAACTGTACGCCTTTCACACGTATATGCCAACACATTATATTGCCGAACAAAAAAACGAAGTTCAATCAATGAATCAGTCTCTCATAAGCTGTTGCCGAGGCATGTTGCGTTGTTTGCACGCTGCACAGCGCGCAGCTTTTGTCGAAAATTAGTTGTTGTGCTTGCATTTTTTTTGAATTCCAGAATCGTGCGCGCACAACTTCCTCGTTTCAACTGAAGTAATCGACTGAATGGCCGAATCGCCCGCTCTCGGCAAAATATTTACACTAACACATGCTCAAAATGTGATAGTATTAGTGCGCCCATCACTGCTCTAAATGTTAGTATTTTTGCACCAAATTTACAGAGGATATTTTTTAGCCATAATGGAAGCTAAAGCTCAAGAGCGTCAAAAAAACAGAACTTTAATTTATTTTACGGTCAGTCTATTGTACACATACAAGAGTGAACGGTTTCTATAACTTGTGTTTCCGTTGGCTTCATTGCGACGGAAGTTTTAAGTAGGTCAAGGTGCAACGGAAAATGGCGCAGAATTTTTATAAAATTAAATTTAATGTTTAACTCTGCTTTTTGAAAGGTAATTATGTATTACTTTTGGTTATTTTTATAATATTGCCTCACTGTTTTTTATGTTTTTTTCGGAATTTTGTATAGAGTATGTGAGTTTATGCGGTGACCGGTTGTTATCAAGANTACTTTTGGTTATTTTTATAATATTGCCTCACTGTTTTTTATGTTTTTTTTCGGAATTTTGTATAGAGTATGTGAGTTTATGCGGTGACCGGTTGTTATCAAGGTGATTCACCAAGACAAAGTGCTTATTGATTTATCAATTAATTGAAATTTATTAATAGGTTTATCAAGGCACTGGCACCAGGACAATTTTACGTATTGTAACTCATTTCCACGACAGCCGGTTCTACGTACCGGAATGACTCGGATTTTACCCGATCAAGGGCTGTTGTTTCGGCGATCTAACCCCGTTTAGCGATCTAACACAACAATAGACACACAAACAAACACAATAGCACCCACACACCGCCGCCGGCAACTCCTTGTCCCTCCGACAACTGCTCTGTTTGTCAGTCCAGAATATACCGTAACGTGACATCAGTCAAGTGCAACTCTTGCCTCGGCTGGTGCCACTTTAGGGCGTGCTCAGGACTTCGCAACACGCGAGATTGGACGAGTGACAATGTGGGCCCCTGCTGTGCTGCCCCGTCGCATCCCTCCCCCGCGACGCCGCCAACCACCACCACAAGGCAGGACCCCTTTTGCAGCACGTACAGCAGGGGGCCGGCAGGCAACACAACTCTTTAACACCACACATCACAATCGGTCTCCCAAGGCACACAAAGGTGCTATCAATTTAACCGTAACGGACTCCAGAGCAAGATCGAGGAGATAACTGTCTTTATGGGAAGGCATGGAATATTAATAGCTGCGGTCCAAGAGACGAAATTGCAAGGCAATTCAACCTGTTGAATTGCGCCGGATACAACGTGCACCGTCGAGATCGCGAGCGAGATAATGGTGGAGGTTTAGCGTTCATCACGCACCACCGGCGTAGTCATTCGATCACGCAGGTCATCAAGTCAGTCTACGTTCGATTGAGTTCGAAATTTTATGTATACATACCCCCTGTCACCAGCTGCCCGGCAGGATATCACCCTGAAATAGGTGCGCTACTCAGAGGTGAAAACCGTATGGTAGTTGGTGACTTTAACGCGCACCACGATCTTTGGCACTCAGAGCCTGTCAAATGATCGTAGGGGAATACATCTGGCGGAGCAGATAGACAATTCGACATTCTGCACAATGAACGACGACGCACCCAAGGGGATTATGGGCAGCTGCTGCAGCTCCCAGATCTAACAATTGTCAGCGCTGGTCTGATAAACAGCGTATCATGGCGACCTATGCTGACTCTAGCATCAGACCATCTGCCCATAGTCATCTGGATTGATAAACCTGCCGACTTTGCTTCCGTGGATCACCGAACTTATCTCAACTTTTCCAAAGCTGACTGGAAAGACTTCACGGATGTTACTGAGGGCGCCTTCACTGCACTACCCATACCAACCGACGTTCATGTAGGTGAACGTAAGTTCCGCAGGGTTGTCACCGTTGCTGCAGCTCGCTTCGTCCCATCAGGATTTATTAAGGATCCACGTCCGAATTATCCTGCCGAGGCGGCTGTTATAGCTGATGAGGGCGACAACCTTCGTCAGGCCGATCCCGGAAATCCCGGTATTAGGGATCTCAATTCGGATATTCGGCAACTTGTGAACGTACATAACCGGAAGAAATGGGAAGAGCATCTGAAGACCTGCAACTTCGCCTCTGGTGTGAGCAAGCTTTGGTCAGCCGTGAGGTCGTTGTCCAACCCGACGAAGTGCGACGACAGAGTCGTGATAGACTTTGGTGACCACGCTTCGTCGGACCCGGATAGATGCGCGAGCTATTTTAGCCGGCAGTTCATTCTGCATCCTCCGGTGGATAAAGCCAAACGTCGAGTGACCAGAAGGCTGCACAAAATGCCAAAACCTAGTGCGCCTCCTGTTTTCACCAGTGGTGAGGTAAGGGTAGCCATCGGGAAGGCGAAAGCCTCTAAAGCCATTGGACCCGACGGAGTATGCATGTTGATGCTGAAAAATTTGGGTCCTGCGGGAGTAGCGTACCTAACGGAGGTCCTCAACCTGTCTATGACCACTCTCGTCATTCCAGACATCTGGAAAATGGGGAGAGTGGTCCCACTGCTCAAACCGGAGAAACCAGCCAACAAAGGAGAGTCTTATCGCCCGATAACTCTCCTTCCCCCGGTAGCGAAGACACTCGAGGCCCTGCTGCTCCCGTACTTTACGAACCACTTGACCCCAGCGAAGCATCAGCATGGGTTCCGTAAAGTGCATAGCACAACAACAGCACTCAACGCCATAAACACTCAGATAACTCGTGGCCTAAACCGAAACCGCCCCTGTGAGAGAACTATTCTAGTAGCGTTGGACCTGTCCAAGGCGTTCGACACTGTCAGTCATTCAACGCTACTAGAAGATATAAGGGCCTCCTCACTCCCACAGGGACTCAGACGATGGTCGGCGAATTACCTGATTGGTCGACACTCGTCAGTAATTTTCAGAGACAAAACTAGCAAGCCACGTAAAATTAAACAGGGGGTACCACAGGGTGGTTTCCTGTCCCTGCTACTGTTTAATTATTACATCTCAAAGCCTCCTCAGCAACCAGAGGGTGTTAATATAGTTTCCTATGCTGACGATTGTTCGATGATGGCGTCTGGGAATGGAATTGATGACTTTTGCTCGAAAGTAAGCGGTTACCTCTCCGAACTTTCTCGCTTCTTCACTGCAAGGAGCCTTGCCCTATCCCCTTGGTTTATCAAACAACCTCTGGACCCGTCAACCTACCGACATTCACAGGGAATCAGTCTCAACTGCCAGATCGAAAAATGGTCTCGCCCAACGTGTTCACCAACCTTAAAAACATATTGTGAGACCTTAAAAAACTTAATTTCTTAATGGATTTCGTGNTCGAAAAATGGTCTCGCCCAACGTGTTCACCAACCTTGAAAACATATTGTGAGACCTTAAAAAACTTAATTTCTTAATGGATTTCGTGCTCGGATTGAATGAAGAGCAATTTTAAGCACTTGAGGCGGAGGCACAAAACGTTCAGGCGAGACCTCTAAATCAGTAGTGGGCATTTCATATCACGCGTACAGCTCAACTGTACGCCTTTCACACGTATATGCCCACACATTATATTGCCGAACAAAAAAAAAAGAAGTTCAATCAATGAATCAGTCTCGCATAAGCTGTTGCCGAGGCATGTTGCGTTGTTTGCACGCTGCACAGCGCGCAGCTTTTGTCGAAAATTAGTTGTTGTGCTTGCATTTTTTTTGAATTCCAGAATCGTGCGCGTACAACCTCCTCGTTTCAACTGAAGTAATCGACTGAATGGCCGAATCGCCCGCTCTCGGCAAAATATTTACACTAACACATGCTCAAAATGCGATAGTATTCGTGCGCCCATCACTGCTCTAAATGTTAGTATTTTTGCACCAAATTTACAGGGGATATTTTTTAGCCATAATGGAAGCTAAAGCTCAAGAGCGTCAAAAAAACAGAACTTTAATTTATTTTATGGTCAGTCTATTGTACAAATACAAGAGTTAACGCTTTCTCTAACTTGTGTTTCCGTTGGCTTCATTGCGACTTCATATTTGACTTACAAACANACAGAACTTTAATTTATTTTATGGTCAGTCTATTGTACACATACAAGAGTGAACGGTTTCTCCAACTTGTGTTTCCGTTGGCTTCATTGCGACTTCATATTTGACTTACAAACAAAATACGGGAAGGAATTTCAAGATTTCAACCCTGTTTTTATGAAACATTTTGGCTGCGTTTCTTTATACATTCCGGATAATCCCATTTCACAGCCGGAATAAACAGAATGCGTTTGAAATATACGTCACCATATCATCAGGTACGTTCTAAAGAATAAATAAACAAAAAAGTTTATT